GTAAGTCTTCACAAGGTTTTCACACACTGTTGCTGGTATTTTGGCCCATTCCTCCATGCAGATCTCCATGCAGATAAATACTTTTTTGCCCCACTGTAACCCTGATCACAGGCTTGGTTCTTTTGTCAGCTGCTGTGCTTGTGGAATCTGTGCTCTGTCTGCACAAATCATTTCAGGACCAGTAAAAGTTTGTTGTTCACAAAGCTCAGTTAAATTGGGCCACTCGCTACCCTCAGGATGAGGGAGGGACACTAATTTGAGTGTTTGCAGAGGATCAGACAAATGAATGGGGAAGCAGGCCGTCAGTGGCAACACCCCTCAGTTACGAGCTGGTGGGGAGGAAAAGGCTTGCTCCCAGCTCGTGAACCCCTGCTGTCCCGGGCCCTGTCCCCACATCATGCTGGTCCCAGTCTGCCACGTCCACAGCAGGAGAGGAGTGGAGGCCTCAGGACTCCACATCCCTTTCCCCAGTTGGTCAGGCAGGCGCAGGGGTGTGGCTGGGCCAGGGCGGCCTGGCTGAGTTTGGGAGATGGGTTCAGTGCTGCCCACCCTTGGGGAGAAGAGGTTGGGATTTCCAGTTCCCCTCGGCCTTCAGCTCTTTCTCTAGGGCAACTGAGGACAGCAGTGGAGTGGTTTTGGATTCCCCCAGGATGGCTGTCTTGGTGGAGTCAATTGAACCCGGTGCAAGACCCCCATGTGGTCAATTGCTGGTCAGTTGACCCCCCTTGACAGCCCAACTCAGGGCCCCAAATTGACCCAGTTAGATGGGCCATCATCCACCACAGCTGTTCTCACGCGCTTAATACATAAGCTAAATTACTGCGACCCGCCCTGAATTGACACATTCTATGCCTCTCAATCCAGCACTATAAAATTGCAGGAAATTGCCTGCGAAAAGGGTATGGTTCACACTGAGAATCGTGGATGGTTAGTGGTGTGTTTCATGTTCATCTTTCAGTTCCTTTGGCATACCCAATCTGGATATGCTAGAATTAGTGGTTTTATTCTTAAGCATTTCAGTCGCATGAAGAGGGTCAAGACTGTAACTTTCCTACTGTTACAGATATTTCACTAAATATATATCTTTAAGATTTTACAGTTATTGCCGTGAAAATATTTGAGTCGTTTTATTAATCAGTTATATATTTGCTATTATTTTTAGCTAACACATGTAAAAGGACCATAACCTACTTCTTCAGTTTTGTTAATAAAGAGCTTAAATATGATACACCATACTGTTGATTTAGGATTCAGAACATTTTCTTGAAAAGCCATTAAATGGATTCATATGACAAGGATTTAATCCTCCTTTTTTAAGGGAGAAATCTCGTGGTTACATGATGACATTTAGACTGCTGATCATCCTCAGCCATGAATAGGTGGTGGGTCTATTAGAGAGTCCGTCGCAAGGATCAGGAAAAAAGTCAAATTGTTTTCCAGCTCCTGAGGGCAAATAGAAGGTTATTATTGTTCAGTTCCATTGACTCTATACAGTAATGCACAGAACTGTGCTGAGTAATCCCTTACGTGGGTCAGCCACCCACCTTGAAACTCTGTCCCTAGCCCCTCCTTTGAATAGATTTGAGAGAAAATGGGGGGGGCGGGGGGAGAGAGATCTGCATTTCACACGTTCATAATTTATTCTACTCTGATCTTCTTGAAGAATAAGAAAAATATTTATGGGTCTTTCCTCTTAGTATCCACACAGATACACCGTTCGCCTGATATGCAAATATACGCATTCCACATGAGCTATAAATTAAGTTGAGATAAACTAAGTTATGATACTTAGTGGTAAAACAACCGAGTCCAACTTGAATATTTTGATTTGGCATATTTGTTACCAGTATTCACCAGCATTCATGTTATCACAATGCCATGTTTCATTAGACCACGTTTGTGTAGTTGTTAGTATAAGCTATGGGTGTGTGCTTTTGAAGCTTTAAGAGTTAAGAAAAATATACTGAAACAATTTGAAGTGGTGTGAATAAATACTGGAAGTCCTTGTCTTTGTATAACTGACTGAAGTGTTTTAATTTGGTAGCGCCTACATATGCTGGCTAACTCACTCATAGCTATTAAGACTAATTCTCATTCCTGTCTAATTTTCAGCCATGTTGTACATCAGGTGGAAGAGAGAGCATGTGAGTTAAGACAGGAAGGAGTCCAGCCTGTGTGCTGCGCGATGAAGCCCTCCTCTAGCTCGTGGTTTGCCACCTTAAGACTCCTCACGCCCACATGCACGCCTCTCTCCCCCCTGCCCTCCCCGCCCTCCCCTCGGGCATACGCTGAAGAGGACCCAAATCTGGCATTTCTGCTCCGGCTGAATGGAGGTGATGTCAGTGGCTCTGGCCGCCGGCCGCGCGTTCCAGAACTCGCATTGATTACGTCAGGAGCACAGACGATTCCCACCCACTTAGGCCCTTTGCTTAAGCGAGTGAAGAAAGCAAGCCACTTGAGGGCTGCTCGGCTGGAACTGATAGGAGGCCAGGAGCTGCTTAAAAGCGACTTGCTTCATAACGCGTCCCGCCTCTCACGTGCCTTTCTCATGATTTAGGTTCCTTTTGGCGAACAGGGCTGCATCCCTCGGTAGAGCCCAAAGAAATAATCAGTTGTCCCATCATGCGCTTGCTGGTCTCAAGCTCTCCACGCCCCGTGGGGATAATTCTGCCCCTCCTCGATTCCTTGCGTTCCTCCATACGGGTCCTGCGTAGCTGGGGGAGTGGGCTTTCTGCCCTGGCGCCTGGAATCCCGTGAGCGTGGACGGGGCGAACGTTCGGCGGGAAGGCGGCCTGCAGGGTGGGAGCCTCCAAGGCTGTAAGATGGGACGGGTGACCTGGGGGGCCTGTCTTTTGATGTCCACTTAATAACTGCCGTTGGGAATGATTTAGCCAGTGGTTCAAGGACTGGTGGTTGAAGCCAAGCTTGAACATTGTATGCGGAACCATTCTGGACTTTGTCCTTAACGGTCCAGGCATCGGGAACCGCTGCGATGTTTGCAGAGGGTGGGCAGCCCCTTTGGCGTGTGCTGATCCCCAGCCCAGCTTGGCCACAGGCTATGCCGGGGGCAAAGGCAACCGGACTTATTACAGCCCAGAGTAATCCCGAGACCTGTTTACAAGCTAAACTCCCATCTACCCTCCGCCATGGACTTTGGACCCCTCGCTCGCTCTCAGCCCACAAAACAGGACGTAAATGGGACAAACACACATATTTATATTTACTGATAAATGAGCAAATGGTCATTCTGAGTTCATACCGAATGGCTGTTACAATCCCTGGACAGCAGCCCTTTTTGTTTTCGGAGCAGGGATGCAAAGCCGGGGTGTAGCCGGTTTAGTCCCTTCCTCTCGCACCTGCAAGAGGGACGGCTCGTGGTCCCCAGAGGGACGCGTGGGGCGCCTGTCGGTTCCCAGGTGTTGGTAAAGGGGGCTTCCCTCTTTCCTGGCCAGCCCCAGCCAGGAAGGAGAGGAGCGACCTCGGAGGGCCGCTCTGAATTGCGGCTCAGCCGGACACGCGGAGCAGCTCAACTTTCCTGGAGCCGAGTTCACAGACCCTAACTGGAAACACCCCATTTCCAAAGTCTGGACTGCGGGTCCCCCAGTTATGTGCGCTTCCTCTCCAGAGCACTCTTTTCCGCTCTTCAGAATCTAGATTTAAGCATTCTTGGGGCATGGGGGATTGGGTTTCATTACGTTAAAGAGCTAGCCCGGTCAGCAGCAAGGGAGGACCTCGTTTCCTTCGCCTCTCTGCAGGGTTCGGGGTAAGCTTTGCCCTCTGGCTGAGCGAGCCACTGCCCTGGAGCGGGTGGTGCCAATCTGTGCCCAGCCACACCTAGTTTGCCCAGCGAAACCGCACATTCTGCTCCGTCTTTGCTCTCGCCTTCCCTCCCTCCCTCTGCCTCCGCCGGTAACCAAAACCCCCTCGCAGGTGGTGCTTTCTGCAATCCCTCCGTAGCATAGAAACAGGGTTCCTCCTCCTGAGCTCCTCCGTTGCCAACCGTTCCTGGGTGGGTGAATGTCAGTAGCCAGAGTTATTTTTAAATGTGAGAGGTGAGGCTTGTCATGCAAAGCTGAGAAGTGGGCGTTTGTTTGCCGAGCTGACATCGAGGGGGGACGCGCTCACCGGCCAGGCCGGTTTGCCTTTAGACCTGCTTATCTCCAGTGGGTCTGTCAGCTGCCGAGCTCCTGCGGGCCCCGGAGTCTCGGGAAGTGTCCCTTGTCATCTGGGATCCTGAGGACCGGGCTGGACTTTGAGACTTCGGCTCATCGACCTGCAGCACTCCCCTCCCTGCTACTTGACTAAGCAGCTGCGTTCTGCTTCTCTTCACAGGATAATATAAATGTGTTTTTGAAAGCTTGTGAAAACCTTGGATTAAAAGAAGCTCAGCTTTTTCATCCCGGCGACCTTCAGGATTTATCTAACCGAGTTACCGTCAAGTAAGTATTGCTAAGTCCTGTACTTCATACGTGTGTAGTCCCTTGTATGTTGTGTCAGGCTGAATCTTGTTAGGATGTGCAAGTTGAGATTTGCTGCTAAGTTCCAGGAAAAAGCTAGCCCAGTCCTCAGGAATTCTTTATTCAGGCTGTAAAATGTACTAAGCTTTTTGACAGATTAATGGGTAGATTAATTCAGAGAGAAAATACAAAACTGGAGGGGAAAAGGAATTTTTACCGAAAGCTGGTAACTACGAGGGGTTATTCTGGGGTGAGATGTATATGTCTCTGTTCACCTTCAGTCGAGTGTTCAGACGTTAAAGCCCGTGACCTGTAAAACGGTATCCAGAACGCAGCCTCTCTCTTCTGTAGAGAACCCAGGGACAGGCTGCCTGAGGGCTACGTGAGAGCTGGTGTCGGCTGTGGCCACGCTCAGCATTGGTGGACCAGGAACTCTTTGGTTTAACTCACCTGAGCTTTACCCGAAGCCTGGGTGACCACTCCTTTAACCCATGGCATCGTTTCCGAGATACGGAATTTATCATCTCAACCCTCCCTAACGTTGACCCAAGAATGACGAAGGATCGTTCCATGATCCCTGAAGGAGATCTTTCTCTCCACAGGTGGAATGTGGTCAGAAAGTTCTGCCACGAGCGGCGTGTCTGTCTCTGTGTACCTCCTTTCTCTTAGGAAGGGGGGACACCTAGCAAAATGAGCGTCACGGACATTGTGGCCAGGCTAAAAAGACTTGCTTAATTGTTCAAATAATTATTTTAGATTTGCGCATTTAAGTGCATTGGACCTTGCACAATCTGCTTTCTGTAATCTTGAGACTGCCAGAAAGTGTGTGTGTGTGTGTGTGTGTGTGTAAACGTATGCGGGTTCTAAGTTTAAAAGCAGTGGAACGGCAAAGTCCCTCATATCTTGCCAAGATCATGACTGTTCCTGGGGTAGAGAAGGCATTCAGCAGATGGCGTTGCTGTTGTGGAAGAGGACACAAACAGAGGATTCCACGCTCCCTTCCCACTTGGCCTTTCCTTTTGTTTGTGAAAGGCAGCACGTGAAGAATCATAAACACCTTTGTGAAATCAACCTGACTAAATCTTTTGCAACCTGGAAAACTGAACAGTCAAAAGCGAGGTGTCTGATACCGCTCCTGTGGTGTGTCAGAATTGCCCCCGGGCGACCGAGCCAGGGGTGCCATGGCACCGTCTCCCCTTCCTGCTGGCGTAGAGCAGCACGGCCGGCAAGTCCTCCAACAGGCCTCCTGTCGGGAGGCAGCGCGTGGGACCAGGCAAGGAGGGCTGGCAGCTTCAGAAATTCAGATCTGCATTCCTGTGGAGTTGCCTCTTTCTGCCCCCCTCCCGCCGTTAGAGTAAGAGGAGAAGGTGGTGCAATTTCCTCTTGGTCTGCTGGAAATGCTGTAGAACTGCCTGGTGTGTGTGTGCCACAATTTTCTCCTGGTTAGACTGTCACAAACACAGTGTGTGTCCATTGGATGGCAGCATCCAGCGCCCCCATGTGTACTCTCCGTAACCGTCAGGAGGGTCAGGTTCCCTTTTCCCTTCCCAAAGCCTTAATCTGGGAGCAAGAGAGGAAAGAGCGGGTTTTTCTGTGCGTGCTGCTGTGCTACTTTTGGGTTTCTTTGGCTGTCCCCCAGCTTCTCAGCTCTCACCTCCCTCCCAGGAACCGGAAAGACAGGCGGCTTGCCTTCAGCTCTTTCGGATCCTCCTTTGCTTACGAGGAAAGCTCCCCCCTGCTTCCCCAGCTTCATTTTGCGTTGCAACCGGTCGCACGGGTCGCCACCATCCTGGTCCTGGTCCTGGTCCTGGTCCTGGTCCTGGTCCTGGTCCTGTCGCAGGTGGCGAAAGCTGCTGCACAGAACCGCAGTCGTTCAGAAACGGCTCCTTTCTTCTGGGCCGGCTTAAGGAGCAAGGTGGGAGCTCACTGGCGCCTGCAGCCCCCAGCACAGGGAATCAGCTGCGGCCAGACGGCTTAAAAGCAAACCCGTCGGGCAAGAGTTGTGTGGAAACTCTCCTAGGAACGAACTGCAGGCCCAGCCAGGCCGTGCACTCACCAGTGTTGATGAGGTTATGGGCGAACTGGGCAGATCGATCGATATCCGGGGTGCGCATTGTTCTGAGAAAAGGCAGCCCTCCGTTCTTGGGACGAGCTCTTACTCCACAGCCCTTCCCCTTTCCTTCAAGCTGGCCTGTCACAGCCAGGAGGCCGTGTGCACCGATGCCATTTAGCTTATTTTGCACGGCGGGGACTGGCCGTTCGTGTATACCCTTTCACATGGTCACTTCTCTTTAAAATTGGTTTTATACTTTTTTCACTTGAGTCACATGATAAAACTGGGCATAGTGTGGCATGCCTTAAGCTTCAGCTTTCTTACATAATTCGTATTTTCTGTCCAGGTCGCAGTTAAATTAAGGTAACTTGCAGCTGCGCTTTTCTGCAGTGAAGGAAATTCACACTGGATTGCGCTCATTGTGCTATTCTGTTGCAGTCAGGGTTGCGGGAGCACATTGAAGGAAGAGTGTCATCGGCACTAGGATTTTGATTTGGGACCGACAGAGCTGGTCCAGGCGGGATGCTCTAAGGCTGCATATGGGTGTGCCATATCTTCGTTAAAATGCTGTCTGTCACAAACATATTTGGAGCAACCGTTGGTCATGGGGTGCAACCTTATAACCTGCATGCCGTTGCAGAAGTGAGGTTCAGCAGAGAGCCGGGGAAGGCAACGTGGCTGGCAGGAGGGAGGGAGGGAGCCGGGGCCCTCGAGCTTAGCTGGGAACTTGGGTGGCGTTTTCCACATGGCGTTTTCCAGATCCTCTGGACTGCACTCCAGCCAGAATGGTGGAAGGCTGTGATGGAAGAAAGTATGGATAGCCTTCACCCACAGAGGAAACGTGGAGAACGACTGTCTTTTACATAAGCAGGTTTCCAGTTTTGTAAACATTGGAACCTGGTGCATGTTTTAATCAGCTGGGAGAAGTATATTCAAAAACTAGGTGGACAAAGAGAATGAAAAGTGCATCCAGACTTTTCTTGGCATTGACTTTCTGTACAAACAGATTATACATGAATCTCCACTTTCTGTAGGAAATGAGCATGACTCAAGGTCAAACAGCCAAGATTATTATAGGGTGCAATGTGAAACTCCAGCTAAAAATACTTGCAGGAGCTTGGAGAAAGCTAAACAACATCCTTGGGTCTTTTGCCTCCTCTGAGGGGGTGCTGCACCCTGAAGTTTCAGGGCCTTGGCGTGTTTTCTTTTTCATGGGGCCTTTTGTAAATTTTGAAATATAATTCGAATTATTAGTTTCAATCTGAAAAGAATCATGCTCTGAAAAATGCATCCTGTGTATGTGCTCTTCCTAAGTGTGGAAATAACCAAAGATTTTGGGTCCTAGTTCTAAGCATGTTTGCTCAGAAACGTTACTTGGGTCTCTATAATTGGGCTTGATTCCCCTGTGGATACAGGAAGGATGTTTTCCTTTCAATGCTGAGGAGATGTCCTGAATGAGGGCTTCACCCAGGTATCCCTCCCTGTCCGGCACGCGGCCAAAGCCTTCTGGGCGTTTCTTCACCCAAAGAATGTATCTGGTATCAGGAGATAACCTCAGTTGCTTATTACATAATAGTGCAAGACCTTGAATTTTCTGCATAGGCCTGTTTGTTTCTTATTTTGATTTATGAACTCTTAAGCAATTCTCTTAATAATTACTTTGAATTGCCTTAATTCTATCGATGTCTGACTCTGCAGTCCTCAACAGATTATAGTAATTAAATACCTTTGAACTCTGTAGAATGAATTTACTGGTGAAAGTATTTAGAACTGGGCTGTGAACTCTGTGTCCTGATATATAGTTATTGCCTAACTATTATTTTACAGTGCTAGTCAAAATCTCTTCCTTTGTACAGAGAATTAAATGTGTGTGAATATTCACTGTCCTAAAGCTGCTGCTTTAATTTAAATTCTGAAATTCTAGTGTGGAAGGGGTGGCAGTATCTATCTGCCCATAAATAAATTAATAAAATAAATTGCTTCTATAGAAATTTCAAATCTAAGCCGCTAAAGATTGGCAGAAATGCATGTACGTACCAGTTGCTTAAGTTGTACGATAACCTGAACAGAAGCCTTTTCCTGCTGGAATTTCACTGAGAACTTTGCCGTCAATGGTCTTTGAGGCTGCCTGGCAGAGCCAGATGCAACGTGAGTGTCGTGACCAGTGTGGGAACCGCTTCCCCTTAGAAGCAATCTCCAGCCCCTGACCCTCCGTAGCAGAGCTGGTTAATTTTCCGTCGTAGGAGTGGGAAGGATTTCTTTCCAGCCTACCCTTCCGTGCCACATGTCGTCAAAAGCCTTGAGAAAATTAGTTTGACTAGAAATTCTATTAAAATTATCACATCACTAGTAAAAGTTAGGAAGAACTCTACCCTTACAAGCTAGCTTTATGAAGAACTGAATCAGCCAACTGAATCAGGAAAAAAAGGTTGCTTTTTGCTTTTTCTGGTTCTGCAGACAAGGCCAAATTGAGGGGGACAGTGACAGTGAGCCTCTAAATCTCTTTATGCGAAAAGAGCAGATCTTGATAGCACCACACAAATTACTACTGTAGTGAACTATGAGCAGTAATACATTTTTAGAGGCAATATTCATTCTGGGTTTAATCTTAGACAGGTGATGCCATTGTACTTGAGTTATTAAAACAATCTCATGTTTTGAACTCATTTAGACTGAAAAAGAAAACTGTTTATCACCTGTTCCTAATGATGGAATCTAACCTCAGCAAACTACAGTATTTTTAAAGGTTTACATCTCTATGTAAAAATTAAATGAAGTAGAACTGAATTGCTAAATCACAGGAAATGTAAGAGAACATTTCATACCTACACAAATCATTTAAATACAATTGCATCTCCTTTGATACCTCTACTCTATGGCCATTTATTCATGTGTAGAAATATAACATGAGTACTTTCCATAGCTTATC